TCTGTAAAAATGCCAGAAGAAGGTACAATGCTATATTTCAAAAATTACGACAATCAAATTCCAATTCCTTTTGTAGTTTATGCAGATTTTGAATGCTTTACTAAACCAATAAATACTTGTATTCCTAATCCAAAAGAATCTTATAGTTACAACTATCAAAAGCATGAACCATCAGGATTTTGTTTTTACATTAAAGGGATAGACCCTAATATATCATTTAAACCAATTATTTACACAAAGACTAATGATAGTGATAATGTAGCTGAGATATTTGTTAACAAACTTGCAGAAGTAACAAATAGTATATATAATGATTTTTATCGCCATCCAAAACCACTTAGATTAAATAAAGAGGAACAAAAATCATTTGATAAAGCGGAAATTTGTCATATTTGTAGTAAAGAATTAAAAAAAGATAAAGTAAGAGATCATTGTCATTTTACTGGAAAGTATCGTGGAGCAGGTCATAACAAGTGTAATCTTATGTGTAAAAAACCAAGAATACTACCAGTTATATTTCACAATCTTCAAGGTTATGATGCTCATTTGTTTATTAAACAACTTGCTTGTTTACCAGGTGAGTTAAATTGTATTCCATCTACGGAAGAAAAATATATTTCCTTTTCAAAAAAGATTAAGGTTGGTGAGTATAAAGATAAATATACTGGAATGATTTTACCAATAAATTTTGAAATAAGATTTATAGATTCATTCAAGTTTCTTCAAACATCACTTGCCAATCTTGTTTCAAATTTACAACCAGATGATTTCCATAATACAAAAAAAATATTTAAAAAGGACGTAAAATTATTAACTCGTAAGGGAGTTTATCGATATGACTATGTTTCATCACTCGAAAAATTATCTGAAACACAACTTCCACCAAAAGAGGAATTCTATTCAAAACTGAATGATGAAGATATAAGTGATGATGATTATCAACATGCTATTAATGTTTGGAATACTTTTGAGTGTAAAACAATTTGAGATTACCACGATCTTTACCTAAAGTCTGATGTTCTACTTTTAGCAGATGTATTTGAAAACTTTAGAAAAACTTGCCTCAAACATTACAACCTAGATCCAGCTCATTATTACACATCTCCTGGACTAGCTTGGGATGCATGTCTCAAAGAGACAGGCCAAAAATTACAGTTATTACATGATTACGATAAGTTAATGATGTTTGAGCGTGGTATTCGTGGGGGAATATCCCATATATCAAAAAGATATGCAGAAGCAAATAACAAATATATGAAAGATTATAATCCTGATGCGGAGTCTACTTATATTCAATATCTTGATGCAAATAATCTATACGGTTGGGCAATGTCTCAACAACTTCCTACACATGGATTCAGTTGGATGAGAAACCTAACAAAAGAAAAAGTAATGGATATTTTAGATAAGGCAAATCATAGTATGTCAAATCGTGGAAGAAAAGGATATATATTTGAAGTTGATTTGGAATATCCTAAAAAACTATGGAAATCACATAATGACTATCCTCTAGCACCTGAAAAGATGATTGTTAATGGTGTTGAAAAACTTATATGTCATTTTAAACCCCGAAAAAACTATGTTGTACATTATCGTAATCTTAGACAATATCTTGAGATGGGAATGAAGCTTACTGCTGTTCACAGAGGAATATCATTCTATCAAAGTTCTTGGATGGAACCTTATATAAGAAAAAATACAGAACTTCGAAAAACAGCAGCCAATAGTTTTGAGAAAGACTTTTTCAAATTGATGAATAATTCAGTATTTGGAAAAACAATAGAAAATATAAGAAAAAGACAGAATATAATTCTTATTGATGATCGCGCCAAAGCTGTAAAATTAACAAGTCGACCAAACTTTGATAGAGCAACAATATTTGATCGTAATCTTATTGCGGTTCATATGAAGCGTACAGAAGTGTATTTTAACAAACCAGTATATGTTGGTCAAGCAATTCTAGATTTATCAAAAACATTAATGTTTGATTTTCATTATAATTATATCAAAAAGAAATATAGAGACAAAGCTGGGTTAATGTTTACAGATACTGACTCACTTTTATACCAAATTCATACGGATGATTTTTATCGCGATATATCTAATGATATATTAGAGAAGTTTGACACATCTGATTATCCTCCAGATCATGAATCTGGAATACCAACAGGAGTTAACAAAAAAGTAATAGGAATGTATAAAGATGAAGTATCTGGTAGACAGATTACAAAATTTGTTGGCCTTCGTCCAAAACTTTATACTTTCAAGATAGAGGATGGAAGTTTAACCAAAAAGTGTAAAGGTGTAAAGAAAAATGTTGTAAAAAAGGGAATAGAATTTGAAAATTATGTTGAGTGTTTATTTACTGGTGAAAAGCAAATGAGAACTATGAAAATTATAAGAAGTGAAAATCATGAGATTTACTCAAAGGAAGTAAATAAAATAGCTTTGAGTAATGAAGATGATAAAAGAAAGGTCTTAGAGGATAAAGTAGAAACTCTTGCTTTAAGATAATAAGATATAAATAATAAATGACATATACAGAAGATCAAATAAAAAAATATCTAGAAATATTACATAATTATAATAAAAAACCTGTGGATGTAAGTAAAAAAGTTAGATGTAGGAATTGTCAAAGTGATAGTTTCTTGGTTGAATCAGGTTATAATATTTGCGATTCCTGTGGTACAACTAATGGTCATGTTCTTGGTTATTTTGATTTAAAAGAATACGATCGATTTCATTTTCGAAAGAAGAGTATTTATCAGAGAAAGTATCACTATGAGGTTGGTCAAGTTTCAAAAAAACTACATCAACTGAGGATGAAAAATGTGAATTATATAGTAAACTAATGGCAATAGATAATCATGTCATGGAAATACTAAACAAACAATTTTGTCGGAAAAGAATGATAAGTATTTTTTATTTAATAAAAAAACTTTTAGAAGAGATGGGTTGTGAAAAGTACAAACTAGTTTATTTAAAGATTTCTCTTCAAACTATGGAGAATTATGAAAAGTGGTGGGATAGTTACAAATTACTCCTTTGTGAAAGCACCAGTAAATAATTCCAGTTAGATAAGCAAGTACTTCACATTCTTTAAATGGTGTGTTGATTGCATATACATACCCTCTACCAATTCTATAATGTTTCCAGAAAGCATGAAAAGCAAAACTAAATATCAAATGATTGGTAATTATATTTGAATTTGAATTTAGGTAAGGTCTTGCTTCTGTCAGTCTGTAAATAATTTGATCTATATCCAATTTTTGTGAAAAATACTTTGAATATAGAAACTGGTAAACTAGACAAGCTTTTATAAAGTTATCTGGATAAAATTGTGTTTTATAAGTTGGAAAGTAAAAATTAACTTATTCTACTATTGATTTGATCATTTTCTATTTATTGATTAGATAGAAAAATTGTTTAAAGAATTATATAAAAATAATTAAATGAACAACATTATTCTAAAAATTAGAGAAAAAGAACGTAAAATTTTTGAGATTCAAAATAAATGTGAAATGGTTTTTTATTATCTTGATCAAATCAAGAGATGTATAATTAATGATCCTTTAAATCCACCTTTTGATATTGATCCAGATGTTATAATATCCTGGTTTAATAGATTATCATCGGAGGAGAAAAAATTTTTTGGATTAACTGAAATGGAATTTATATTTTCTATAATAGTATAATAATTAAATAAAATGAAAATACAAGTTAATCCTCGATCTTTATTAAATCTAGAACACATTTGTGAAGTGTTATACAAACTTCATCCTTCTGTTTTATATGACTTGGTTGAAATGGAAAGATCTTTGGGTAGTAAGTTTCTCAGACAAATGGAGTCAACATATGCGATTTTTAGAAAATACTAAAATTGATCTTAAACAAAGAAATCTCGATTTTTTACAAATGTTAATGGGGCGAAAATATATATTAGATTAAATACGCATTTGAGTATTTAATCTATTAATAAAAATTCTAAGATTTTTCTTGATTTTTTCTTGTATCAGTTATGCTGTCCAAACAATATTTAATACTTCTTAAATTACTAATTTCATATTTTAATTTTTTACATTTATTAAACAAATCTTTATTAACAAAATCTTTTTTAAAACTTAAAATAAAATTACAATAACATAGACCTTTTTCAATATCGAATTTTTCATCTTTAATTAAATAATCAACTTCTTTACTAATTCCTCTAGATTCTTCAGCCAAAGCTGTTTCGTAAGAACTAATTAATTGTTCTTCAAATTTTTCAAATTTATCCATTTTATTGCTAGTAATTTAATCTTTAAACCTTTATATTAAATTTTTCACTATACCTACTAGCAAATCTATCTGCTATAGGAGATTGATCAATTATCATTTCATCTATTAGTTTCATACGATCAACAAAATCTTCTTTACTCCACTCATCACCTCGAAGAGCTGCACGAAGTTCAACTAGTACTTTTTCATAAGTAGTAAATGCAATTCTTGACATTCTTGACTATAACCCCAGCGCCATTTACAACTCCTAGAACAACAGGATTTAGTGTAATACCACCAGTAATAGTTCCTATTGCAACCAGGCAAATTCCAGAGATAGTAAACACTTCATCAAGAAATTTATAACTTTTATAACACCTTTTGTAACACCAGTATTTTTTATGATAGTGACTATAAAAATCTTTTAGAGTTGTGACGTCTGATTCTGACAGAGATTTATCAATGTGATTAAATTCAAATATATCCTTCATTTATTAATTATAATATATAACTTTCATTTAACTTTTCCTGTAAAATTATTTTTTTGAATTCTTCAGAGTCAGTGTCGTAAAAGTTTGGTGAGTACAAAATTTTTTCTGATATTCCATCTTGATTTAAAAAATCAAATTTTTGATTACTTGAGTAATATGCTAGTGGTGCAACTAATTCTGAGCTGTAGTCACTTATATTAACTTTTGTAGTATTTGAATTAATACTTTCTGTTATCCATAAAACTACTTTTTTTCCATTAAAATTACTTGGAATAGGTATACTTCTTCTTGTATTTTTAATGTTAAAGTTTAGTGTATTATTTGAATTAAGATAAAATAAATTAAATAAAAGTTGATTATTGTTAGTATCTTTTTTAGTTATGCTAAAATTTCTATTTCTCCAAAGAATAAAAACAAGACATAAAGTATAACTTTTTTGGCCAGTAGCAGATCGATAAGTAATAGTATAACCATTAATATTTAATCCGTCTTTTCTTATGTTGTCTATTATTTTATTTGAAAAGGAAATATTTCTTGCAGAATTACCTGTAATAGAAGAAATTGAATTAAAACTAACATCAGATGATTGTTTATTTATCACGTAACTATCCGCATTTGTAAAATCAAAAACTTCTTCAAAATATTTTCTATAAATATTGTTTTTAGTAAAAGGAATAATTTCTTTTACCATAGCAACTGTGGCAGCGCTATTGTTACTGTTTCTATCGAGATCAATATTTAGTATTTTTTTAATTATTTGTGTTAATGTCAACATTATACTTAACTTCTGTTGGTAGAATGTCAAAAGCAGTGTGATAGTCGTAAACTTTATCAGGGTCAATATTGTTAAATTTACCCATAATACCATAAGTAATTATATAACAACCTAAAAACTGTACCGGATACAAAGCCAGGTCATTTTTATCGTTAGGAATATTAACCAAAATGTGAAGAAAGAATTTGTTACTAACTAATAACTTTCGAAAATTAACTATTACTCTGTGATAGTACATAGTTTGTGTTTTACTTAATAAATCAGTATAACTAAAGGATAATTTTCTTACATTAACATTTAAATCTGTTAATCCTGATGAAGTTCCTTTGTCTACACTTATTTGAGATTTATTCCATAGTTTATTATCAGTGTTAAGTAACTCAATACATAAAGTGTAATCAGTATTACCTGTCAACCTGTAAAAGTTAATTCCCATTTTAAACTTATATCCATTAGAATCTTTGTTAATTCCAAGATAAATTACTTTATGATTATAATTATGAAAATTACCTTTAGAAGGATCTAAGTCTGCTATGCTTTTTATCGTATAACTATTTCCCCCATCTATTTCATCTGTCCATTGAGACCCACTTGACATTAAGTAAGTAAACTCATTTTTGTAATGACTTGGTTGAACTGCCTTGTGATGAACTAGTTTGTCAACATAATCTTTGTTTGCTGCTTCATTACTTTCGGTTGGATTACTTAAATTTATTATTTTATTACTTCCAAGATTAATATTGCCAGTCATTGAAACAGTACCATCTTTTTCCAAATAATCACTTAAATCTGGACTTCCACTATTATCATCTACATATTTTTTGTTGCAGCATCAGAGTTATCTGTTGGTGTTTTAACATTTTTTATTTTATTTGAATTCATATTTAGATCCCCAAACATTGGTATTATTCCATTAATTCTTAAATAATTTGAATTTGCGTAAATTAATGTAGTTGGTTGATTATTACCATTTGGCATTGGAAGATTTAATATTCTATTATTATTCATATCTATATTTCCACTCATCTTTTTTGATCCATCTAATTTAAAAAAGGAACTATCATTAACTTTATTTGCTGCAACTGTATCATCAACATATTTTTTGGTTGATGCATCTGTGTTTGCTGTTGGAGTTGCGAGACTAACTATTTTTTTGCTTCCAAGATTTAAGTTACCAGTCATTGCAACAGTACCATCTTTTTTCAAATAATTACTCATAGTTATACTATTTAATGAAAGCGTATCATCTACATATTTTTTGTTTGCAGCATCTGTGATGTTTGTTGGTAAAGTTAAGTTAATTATTTTTTTATTATTCATGTTTAAATTATTAGACATACTATTTGTTCCAGTAACATGAAGATATTTTAAATCTGTGAAAGCTAATGGTGTTGGTTGTTTGGGACCAGTTGGAGCTGGTATATTATATATTCGATTGTTGTTCATATCTAGATTTCCGGTCATTTTTCTTGTACCATCCAATTTTAAAAATACACTAGTATCAACTGGTCCACTGGAATTATCATCGACATATTTTTTTGTAGCAGCATCAGTATTAGCACTAGGTGCACCAACATTTCTTAGTTTTTTATTTATCATATCATAATCCCCACTTGAAGTGAGATTAAATCCAACTCCTGGGGCACCTTGAATTCCCCTAGCAAAGGGATGATCAAGAGATTGTTCGTTAAATATTCCCATTTTAATTAATGGTTAGATTACCAGTAAAGTTTTTTGCAATACGTTTTCTTGGTTTATCAACGTATAGAAATGAATACGGTTTTTTAGTTGCTGCGCGGTAGTCTTCTTTATTAACTCCTAACTCAGATGATATTCTGTTGGCTTCCCTCGATGATGGAAATTCATATAAACAGTAATGAGAACAATTCAGCCGAATGTCCTTTGGTGTTTTATAAAACGACTGACTGAGATGCACCACCGAACAATTCTTATGCCGTCCTTGAATGAAATAATCAATCAGTTGTCTCTGGTTGCGATCACAAACATAGTCATCGAATATAACAAGTTTTTGATTGTCTTCATAATCCATTTCTGAAACTGGAGTTATTTCATCATTACTAACATGAAGTATTTCATATCCCAGTTGATGACTTAACTCTCTCATTTTTTGAATTAGCTTTTGATACTTATCCTGTTCTAGATTACGCGCGTAAAGATAAATCTCATCATAGTGCAGTAGTGGTTTAATTAACATATGGTACAACAAATTAGTTTTACCACATCCACTGTTTCCACAGATTAACATCCTAAATGTGTTTGATGGCATGTAAGGAAATAACTGTTTATATTTTTTTATCTGGATTGTCATTGGTATCATAGTTTGGTATTTCCATTTATCTAATGATTAAATAAAATGGATATTGAAGAAGCCAAAAAATTTGCAAGAGATAAAATTGAAGCTGATGCTTTGACTCGACAGGTGAGAGATGTCATAAAAATAACAAAATGGCAAAAACAAGATGTTCGGGAAGGATTTAAAGAAACATTTAAACCACTTATTAAATCTCAAGATAGTATTAAAAAAAGTATTGATGAGCAGCAAAACGCAACTATAGCACAACTTAAAGCTAATCAACTTGCATTAACATCAGGATTGGAAAAAATTAATGAAACTAATTTAAGATTGGCTGAAATGAGAGAATTACCAGCTTTGGAAGGTGATTATAAAGAACCAACAACATCTAAACCAAAATCACCTACACGTTATAACATTGAAAAAAATCTTGACAATGTTGATTTAGAAATATTAAAAATGATGGAATATCCAAGGCCAAATGATTTTTTTGATACTAACCCTGAAAGACTTAGAGAAATACTTGATGAAGTAAAAAATGATGTAAAAGTTTTTACAGGAGAAATAGTTGGTTTGAATAGAAAAAAACATAAAACAGAAGAAGATAAAGAAGAAATAGAAAGGATTAAAATGCAAAAAGATTTTCTACATAAATACAAAAACATTCTTAAACTTTATTTAGGTTCACTTGAGTATCAAATGGGAGAAGGAATGATTTACTTTAACAACCCACATCAACTTCTAGACAGACTTGAATTACTCGGTGGTTCAATTCTTGCTGGTAATAATGGTGTAATACCTGAGTTTTCTCAAATAGCACATCTTCTCAACCAAATGAAAGTGATCTCAAAAAAACAACTAAATGATTTACTAAAAAA